TTTGCTCAAAGCAAACAACGAACATGGCCAGTCAGAATTTTCTACGTAAAAGACGATTTTATCCAACGTTATAAAAATCGAGTTTCCTATCGGCGAAGTTAACAACCGAATTAGAAAAGCATTATCAATAAAAACCGCGTCATTATTAAGCAAATTCCACAGAAGTATTGTAATAATTAGCGTGCAGCGCATAAATGACTGTTTTAATCACAGAGAGAACAATGCAATCTGGTATATTAGCATATAACGCTGATATTTATGTTCGTACATGGCATTTTGTGCGTAGAAATAATTTTGCAAGCAACTTATTACCTTCATTAACTTAAATATCGAGAACGAATACGTACCGATAACTGTGAACGTTTAATATCGCTCTCCATGTGTAAAATAAAATATAATTCAGTGTTTCATTTCGATACTAATATTTCCTAGTATTAGATGGAAAAATTAAAACACACTTAATAAGAAATTAATACAATCATGTGAAAATGTAGAGTGATTTTAGTCTGAGTGGAAATTTTGTTAATACGCAAAATCAAAAATTCAGTTTTGATTACGCGATCAATATATGGCAGCATATTTAATTATAAGATAATAATGTAACAACACGCAAACGCGATCAACATAAGATAACACGAGCATTAATAACACACTATGCAAAATCTCTGATGTAACAACTTTTCCTTGATAAAATTTGCGAGCAATGGCGAAGTATTAAATACGCTAAATATTGTGTCGAGTAAATTCGTGTAATTAATTAGAGAGAAATAATATTGAGACAATAATGACACTGTAACGGTTTAAAAAAAAATTCGTAATTACTATAATTCTGCAGTGAAAACTGTACAATTATGCCAGCGTATTCTAATAATTTTAATAGGAAATGTATTTACAAAAGTAATTTAACCGATGTGCCGCGAAATCGGATAGTTCTTTGTATTCTAAAGTTGTTGGAATCAACACTTTCATCTCAGAGGTGCGAATAAAATTGCTCCCACAAGTTCCATCGTGGTGTTAAATATATGTCTGTACTAAACATGCTGTTTCTACACCGAACGAGTATCCAGAGACAGTTCTTTCCTCTATCATCCCTTTCCTTCTACGACATATAGAAATGTTTACTATTATTGCTACCTCGAAGCAAGAAACTACTAACAAAACACGAAATGTAAGATAGAATTTTGCGGAATGCTGGAAAAACAAGGTTCATCCTCTTGATAAAATATTTACATCTGCTAATCTCGAACGTAATCGATTAAACGAATCGACAGAAACTTGAGAAGATAAGGACCTGAAACCTCAGCCAGGGTCGCATGAAGTATTTATGCCTCACAAGGGAATATCCCGAAGTGATAATCACCGGTATTGATGAAACTTTGGTATACGATAGCACTGAAAATAATATTTGACACATTTCCTTTTATCGACAATCGTCTGTAACGAAGGGGGAAACATCGCCCTCGAAGATTAGGATAATAAACATATTTGGTGACAGTTATTTATTATTTTTCAAGTTTGCTGTTGAAAAATACGAAATCCGTCAATTTACACTATTCCTCTATCTCTAATAGTTTTCGAGATATTCACCCTTTAAAAGGACATGCGTCGATTATTTTTTTCTGAGAACTACTGTATATCAAAGTTTCATCAAAATCGGTGATTATCACTTAGAAACGTTCTCTGGTAGCTCTGATTCAGTCCAAATCGAAGGACGAACAATATTGCACTCGATCCTGAGTGCTAATGCATCAATCGATGCCGCTACTTTGCTTTAATTTACGACCCGCTATATTTCTTCCACCAACTATACCTCTCTTGCTCCTGTGCCGCCACACTGGACGTACTTCCAGCTCTGCACATTAGGTATGACTCTGCAGTTCACGGATTTTGGACGCCAAGGCTTTCACGGCACTTCCTTAGGGGTTATTAACTCCTACTCTACGGTTTGGTTGCTTTACCTGTTTCACCTGTTCTCTCCCATCTTTTGCGATCCACAGTTATTATTCCAGAGTCCTCGCTGCTTAACTCTGTCATTATTATTGGCGCCTATAGGCGTTTTGAAAATTTCCTCGCTCTATGCTTAACCCTTGCGTCAATAACCACAATTGTCGTCTGCTTTATCGTCCAATTTTGGTAGTTTCGTGGTAATGAAATTCTTAACTTGAAGCAAACACGGATAGGAAATATGTCAAATAACGATCTGGCCAAATCTTTTACCGGGAGGATTAAATATTTTAAGTGAGAATGTGCAAAAGGGTAATTCAATGCTTAATTTTATCCTATACGCACTTTTATCTTACATTAATAACCGAGTTTCAAAACGATACGGCCAAAATCACAAGTTTTGCCGCAAAGAAAGGGTTAAGTGATTTTTTGAGCAGTAATCGAGAGGAAATCGATTATCACCCTTCTGAGCTCATGTTCGAGCACTTGCCATATAGAATTGCGCTACTTCGAGTGTGTTAAGATAAGAGAAATATGTCACAACTTCGTCATCGAGATAGACAGACTCATGTCGTTCATGCCTAATTTACTGATTATGCGCTAGGAAAAGGGAGCGAGACAGTTGAGAAAAGGATAACCAAGGTAGTCAAACAGTATACTAGGGGGTTGTCCCTCAATGGCTTTAAGCAGGCTAAATTCCCTGAAACTTGAGGATAAGCTGACCATAAACAGTCTCCTGGTTATATCAGAGTCGAGGTACCCGTTACCACAACGCTCCCACAACTAGCGCTCAAGTACGGGTGAAGCTTAGAAAGTGGTGCACGATATTCCCTTTATCGCTATTCGAAAAATAGAGGCTTGAGCTTGACCAATACTATCGTGCATTCTAGAATAACGTATACAGAGGAGTCAAAGCTGTGTTAGAGCACCATAGATCTAACTCAAGTTTCGTTTGTTTCGTCCTTTAAATTTTAAACGAGCAAATTTTAACAAAACTTTATTTTCACACATTGCAATTGTGTCCAAGTTAAAAAATAACATCGATTTATTCGGAAACGAAGCTTCCTATGAAAAAATTTTACTCTACATTTCCGACTTATGTTTTTTTTTTTAAATTGCACCCTGCATACGTGACCTAATCATTCACTATAATTATTAAATACAATATTCTCAAGTATCCTGTATTAAAAGCCTATAACTTTGGTAATTTCTAGAATTTCGAAATTTCCTTTGAACCGCATATTCTTTGAACACCGAAGAAGTGAAAAATGTGAAAAAGATTTTCGATTTTTTCAAAGATCTAGAGCGGAACCTCTCCTTGATAAAAAATATATCTCAGAATGAAACCTTTTTTTGGCCCAACCGTATATAATACTTTTCTCTCTTTAAAATAAATAGAACACGTTTTTAAAGTTCAGTTCGCATATTCCTCAAACTATCTACGCAAAACGTACGAGTTGCGACGCATAACTATCAATCGATCGAACGCAGGTACTCTAAACAATGCAATCGGGCGTCTTTTTCATCTGTGGATTTTAAAAGTAAGCTTTTCGAAAGTTACACGGGAACCTTGAAAAACACAAAAACAACGCGAAATCGATAGCGGGGGAGAACCATTCACCGATGCATATCGATATCGTTTATACGGATGGATAAAGGGGAATACTGCGAAACGTAGGACGATTTTGACGCGAGAGTTTGTTACCACGGTAACTACATATATATGCGTTCAATGAAATACCATGGGGCTATTTGCTCTATTCGATTGTGCTTTCTCTCCCTTTGTATTTTTCTTTCTCCCTGTACGTATAGTATATCTCTCCTATTGTTTATGCTTTTCGACGAAACTCCACGCTGCTGCGGGAACAGAGAGAATTTAAATGTGAATATGCGCCTCGAATAAACAGAAAAGAACAGCACGTGTGTGTGATCCTCCAAGTTCGAAATTTTCGCCGAGACGGATAATACTTTATCTCCTTCTATTTCGTCCAACAACTCGGTGTGAAATATAAGTTATCGCACCTCGAACTCGAGTATATCTGCATCGCGGAATTTATATATCGAAGGGAAACAATATCTGGGAAAATTGAATTTCAATTGTCCGCGAAAAGTTTTACAGCAATGCACGTAAAGGTATTCGAAGATCGTTCATTTTCAAAGATACTCGTTTTCTAGTCATTTCTGAACACAGAAAAGCTTTCGAAATTATAACGTACGTATACATTTTGAAATTATCATTCGAGGACTATACGTTTGTGTAAAATAAAATTTTTCATGGAAAAGTCAGATAATAAAAATTTGTTTGCAGTCAGGCTTTGAACAGCTTTAAGAATTGCAACTAATCAAACTGCATTGCGTTAGACAAAGAAACACAATTTTCATTAATGAAATTAATTCGATAAAAATCACACGTTTTGAAGAACAATGCGTCGACTAATTAGTGTTAATAAGTGGTATATTTACATGTTCATATTTGAGATTGCAAAAGCAAGTGAAAAGTATTTTCACGCACAAACTGTTGCTCACAGTTTTACGACAGCCTGTTACACGTAGAACTGCGGCATTGGGAACTTAAATTTACATCCGCGCGCATCCAGTAGTAAAGCACAAAGTGAAAAGGATACACATATATTTCCACTTTTTACATCGTTCGTCTCGAGTAGAGCAAGTTATTTAAATCTACAACTTCACTTCATATTTCTGTGTTAATTAACGTGTATCTTGTGTTTGTTAATAATTAGTACGGCACATAGTAAACTTCCTACATAAATTTATCCCTGGTATCACTACACACAAACGATCGTTAATCTTTTTCATCCTTGTATTTCATTAATACCGCAAATTATCTTTATACATTGTATAAGTATTTTTCATGTTATTCGGTATTAATATTATGCTGAAGAAGTCTCAAAGACGAGAGAAGATAGATAGAGAGAGTCGATTTGGTGGTTTAATTAAGTGCGTGAAGATGGTTTTCTCGTGGATTTCTCTACGCGTTCGTTATTAATTAAAACCGTACTAACATTTTTTCAGATATTATATTATAATGTACCTACCTCCTTGCGGAAAGAACTGTGAGTAGATGCACTTGAAAGTTTCCTCTCTGACAACTCCCGTGGGACATTCTGCCTTGAAGCCACGATATATTCTCTTCAGCTCCGCCTCGCTGAATCTCGTAGCTCGACAAAGGCTCGCCAAAGAGTCAGGTCTATATCTTGGCGTCTGTTCCTCTTCGTATTCCGAGTCTGTGAAACCGAAATCAATGATTTCCCTTTTAATCATGCGAGAAATATCGTCGTCGATGTTTCTCATGCTTCGCCATTCGTTCCAGATACATTTATAAGTTTCGCTGGTTTTGGAGTAGAAATGTTACTAAAGCAGTAGTGACTAAAGAACCGGAAAAATTGATTTTTCGTGAAAATTAACAGGATATTTGAACAAATTGAAAGATTAACGAGGAATAGCTTTAACATAACGCGCTTGAATATTGTTCTTTTAATTAACATACGCCTGCCAAAAAGTAATCCTTAAATTTCAATCCTACGATTATTCAAATCTCAAAACAAGTTTATTGATTCTACATGAAAATTTCGTAGTTTGTTAATTTTGCTAAGTTTTGAAAATTTCGAAATTTCGTGAAAAATCTGAATATTTGTGATTTATAAAATTCGATACTATACATCTGTGCATGAGAATAGAATAACTTTTAGTATCGAAACATTATCCAAATGTTTTTAACAAATTTATCATGTTACATTTATTTTATAGATTGTGTCTCTGTATTGTTCTAAATTTTGCGTTTAATAATTGCCTAAAGCACATTACCCTTGTACTAGACATACTGCGTTCAAAGGTTCCTGTTTTATACAGCTAGTTACCTGTATATATTTCATTAATTACCGAATTATATGTTATACGATTGCTATTATATAATACATCAATAGTTCATAAATTTATTGAACATGTGTAATCTACAACGGGCTGTCACTATACTGATTTACTATAGCAGTATTTGCGACATAGAGCCTCATCTAAACTGTCCAAAGTGTTATCTATAGATATATACGCGGTTGTGTCTGATTCTACACGATGCATTACTACTAGCAACAGTAGCCTCCTGTATAAACGTAACAATGTATCACTTTCAGTAAACAAATTACTCAGCACTAGTTTTGCTAAAATTTCTTTGTACTATTAAAATTACCGTTAAATTTCATTATTAACCCTTTGACTTGTGATTTTTCTCTGGCTGTGCATCTAAGAGGCAGCTATTTACTGTTTTAGTACTGTATCAGATAACAAAAGCTGATCTATTGCAGATTAATGGTATTTAGTAATACCCAGTGTTACAAATTGAAACGAAAATTAGGATTAAAATGAATTTTTCTTACTATTTTCGTCACATCTTGACCAGAAACTCTGCCACGAGTCTGGATAAAAACAGTTCATGTTTTCGGTTAATATTGTAATTAACTCGAACTTACGTTTGAAATATGTACCAATGGCACTGTAAAATTTCAAACTGAGCTATTACATTGTATCTGTTCTCTTATTTGATTTTATTCTGCAAATTTATTTTGGTATGATATATAAATATTATTAGCTGACAAATACAAAACTGAATACTTTTTTCTTTTCTTATTAAAACTGTATTTTTTAAATATTTATGCAAATGCAATTTAGATGAATTACACGAACGAATTTCAGTCAATTATTTAAATACGATGGAAAACTAACTCTTTATCTTTCCAAATTACATATTTGATTACGAGATAGTCTACCATTCTATGTTAAACGTATCACGTTATTTTATCTCTTTACATCCATTTAATTGAGAGTTTCTTTCGGCCACTGTATTTTAGTAGGATTGGTCTCAGGGGAACAGTTGTAAAAAGCATGTACTAGCTAAATCTTTTTGCAGCAGTAAATCCATAAATTGTCTGTTCAAGTATTTGCAATGAACAGAATAGTACTTACAATGTAAAGGACTTTCACAGTTGGAAAATGTTTCTGTTCAGACAGACAACTTTTACAAAGAACACTTTCGTCTTAAAAGTGTGAAATGTAATACAAATTTGTAAAATAAAAGTTTCTCTGTTTAACATTAAAATATTACATTTCCAGAAAAGTCCTGAATGTCTCGAAAACGGTTCCTAGTGCTAAATAAATATAAATATCAACAAACATTTTAATAATAATATAATTGCTTCTTTGATTTATGTATGTATATACATATGCAGGTATACGTTTTACATGGAAAATAAAAGCAACAAGAAGTAGTGTTTATTTAAAGTAAGATCTGGAAATCCAATGTTCACGATAAACGCACGTTCGGAATACGTGCATAGGGAACCGAAACTCGGCTTAAATAAACTTTACATAAATTTGAATTTCGTACCGTGGATATGATGCTATTCTAAAAGGATCTTACATTCATCGATACGTTGTATAACAAATTCCCTAGTTTATTCGTGACCATTCATTATTAAACGTTCCATTTGTTCACTTCAATATGGGTTATTTTAGTGCCTATTAGTAAGTATAATACATACAATAGCAATGAAAGAACAACATTCTCCTTACCGTTAGAACAATTAAATTCTCTCGAATGATTTCATTAACCCAAGACTACTATTCTCTGGAATTCTGTCTACGATATTGCTGTGTACCCTAATTATAGTACCTTTCATTTTTCCAAACATGCTATTAATAATTGAAACTTTTACATTTTTCTATGTAATCAATTTAAAATAATAATGATTCATTTAAAAGAGGATTTAAATTCATTGTAATCCCTTATTATACATATACTTTCTTTTCGCAAGCCGATATCGCGCCACTGTTTTTTTTATCACAAACATTTCTCCAATCTTTCGAAACCGTGTGAGCAATTGAAACAAATGTTCACATTTGGAAATAAAAGTACTTACTGTTTGATGCTGAAAAATCGAGGAAATTCGAACGATGTAGTAGTTACTTCCTGAAAGGCAATCAAGAGGAGATGAAAGGAAGACGATATGGTGGAGAAGAAAAATTGGAGACATGAAAAGCTTAAGAGAAACAAGGCTGAACTCGTCGTCATTCGCGTTTCGTTCGCCTTTCAGATATTGGATCTCTGCAAGGGATGAAACACACTCCCCACAGAACGCATTTTGTCTTTCTCGCAGTAATGATCCGCTGTAGCACGTGCTCGTGATCAGAATGATCCAGTTCGTTTCGTGACCAGAAAACGGAGTCATCTAGCTCCAGTTTCCACTGATATGTCTATCACCGAAAGATATCAGTCACTAATGGAAGTACTTTTGCGTTATCTCAACACACGCTTGTTTCCTAAACGCGCCACTTTAAAGGCACTTCGCTTTTCCTACTCTTTCTTCGATTTTCTAAACAACAAACGTGGAACGATAATTAGAAATTTCTATGGGAAAAGAGTATGCTGTCTCTCCTTATAAAGATACCTCCTTTTGTTTTGCAAAGTAGTTAAATCTCGTGAACGTATAAATTGAATACATTTATCAATCGATAAATCAACATACAAACTGTATCAATATGAAAAATAAGGAAATCGGTATTGTAAGTTAATAAAACTATGCAATTTGCGCGGTTTCTTCTAAACGCATTGTTCACATTTCCAGTCACGTCGCAGAACTTCTGCAAAGTGCCGCTTCAGCGGATTTCTTTAAAAGATTCGTCAAGTTCTACACTTCAATATTACCTCTTTGTTCTCAAACGTATTTTTTCGCGTTCGCATGCAATACCTAGTAGAAGAATAGAAGAAAGAGTAGGTACATTCGCTAAGATAGGCGACTGCTTTATACATAGGGCGTGCCACTCAATTTACGTTCCCCGAGTTGCACGTAAGTTGCTGCTCGAATGAAAAACCTTTACGATACCAAAGAGAATACCTATTAATAAATCAAACTTCTGTTACTTTGCATCACAAAATAGAAAGCTTACCGAAGTTTCCTCCTCTTTCGATGAATTTTTTTCAGTATTAGTACCAAATTTCATTCATAGTATATTGTGTTACTTTCGTCGTCCATTTGACAAAGAGTGTGTTTACCAGGTCTGAGAATGTGAATTACGCTTCGAAGATAGAGCCCATATTTCTACCACAACCGTCGCTCACAGCACTGCCCGCGGGCAACGGTGGGCACTCATGCCCGAAACAGGGTTACTTGAGCGGCCCTGCCCTAGCTCCTTCGTTGACCTGCATCTTATGAACAATCCAGTTATCAGGAATTTAGTATCTACGTCCCTAGTGACTAGGGGACTCACCACACGTCAGCCCTCGTCAATCTCCAAGCAGAGTAATCTAAGCTATTACATAGAAACGTCGATCGTTCTGATGCAGAAGAAAGGACTACCTCTCAAGAACGAGGCCTGTTAAGACGAAATCATTCATGGACACCTGGTCCAGGGCAATATCAGGTCCACAGAGGAAGATTGTAGAATAACTAAAGTTTTTTCATGAAACAGACTGATTGGGCCTTGATATGCTTGCTACAAATATAGGATTGAAAACATTCTGCCCAGATAAAAGAGGGGTCCAACTGCAGCGGTGATATTGGGAAAAGCGCACAATTCGAAGATCGCGAGTTCGAATTCCATCGTTTCGGTCCTCCATTACTCTCGATCCCTACATAAATACAGACCGTTTGCGTCAGATGAGCGTGTCTTATCCGCGAATTCGACTCGTAAGAATTTGAAACAAGTAGAAAACGTATCCGCAGCAGCATAGATGTCAGCCTCCTCGTACCTTTTCGGCAGATTAAACAAAGGCTCAGGGGCAAAGGCATCGTCCTGTCACTATTTCTATCTCTCCGCCCTAGAGGAAGACGCTTCTTTAGCGGCGTATAGCGGCACCTCTAGGAGATATCTCTCGCTCCAGTAACCCATAAGAGGAAGAATACTCCTTCTTCGAAGAGTGCAGGCGGCATTTCTACCTTCCTTTCACTAGCCCTCAAACTCTCCTTCCCTGCCCCTTGGAATCCTTGTCACCGAGCTAGAGGCGAGGTCTGACGTAGGTCGGGTGCCGCTGCACCGCCCGCGTTGCCTTGTAATTCTTCGGCAAACCTTGCATCCGAGAAGACATCTCTCTAAATAAATGAACAGTACAGAAAAAAGTTTTCTTCCCCTCACCGTCCATCTTGCAATATTTAAAATCGACATTTTATCAACTCACTCTTCGTTCGAACGAATTTTCACTATAAATAGGTATTTAAACCCGGTTTGCTTGAAGTAAATGACAGTCCAAATAAATGTGTCTTCGAGCTCGTTTTCGTCGGGGAAAATCTCAAATCTAACTATTTACAATATCCTTGTGAACATATTAGGCGATATTTTTAACATATTTTTAATTTCTTACTTTTCGAAGAATGTGACACAGACATGTCGCAAATAAAGCATGACAAAGAAGCGTGACAATTAATAATCATCGCGAATAAAAATATACGACAGCGGAAATTCACGTTTCAAACTTCTAACAACACTTCGATCGAACTATTCGAAAGACTATGTAATTAATATCCGCGTGTTTTTTTTTTTATTTATTTTTCTATCCACACCAAAACTATTCTGAGCACGTGATACGTAGACGATACACGAATAATGACTGACGTACGTTGAATTTTCCACGAGTGGCGTGCAACCTATTGTCAGGTTGTTTCGATGCTCACCGATGTATGCTTTTATTCGTTTCGATTAAACGAGGCGTTGAATTGCAGTCGAGAAAATGTTTTTGAGGATTCAGTTAGCTTCGATGCGAACGAAAGGTGTTTCCTTGTGAGCAATGGTAAAGCCTTTTATTGGAAACTGTTTCTCCAATAGGAAATATTAACCTATTTTTTTTTTTACCTTGCTTTTGAACGTGCACGTGTTGAAACGGAGCATCGCTTTTGTGTTAAGTACAATGAATTTACAAAGATAAAACGAATGCAATAATTAGTAGTAATTAGAGGAAGTTCTGCTTTGTGAAGAAAGTGATACAAGCTTTAATTTGAAATCGTATTAACAAGCCGAAGAATTTTTTCAATTAAATTTTCATTTCTAGGTGTAGTACTATAGGAGTTTTCTTTTAATTATCCTGTAATTACATTTTCTCTGTTATTCCTTTTGTACACATTTCGCAATTTTCTTGGCGCTACTTAGAAACCTTTCAAATTAATGAACACAGAAAAAATTTCGATACTAACGAACATACTCAATGTTCTCTTTTATTTTTAACTCGAGCAAAATTCACAATTACAATGTAGCATTCTAATTTAATTAATTCTCACTTTTACGCTCGGACGGAACAGTATCCTTAAGTCCTGAATTATTTCTATTGACGTGGTATTACTTCAAAGCGAAAAAAATTTCAGTTTGGAGAAGGTTTTTGTACCATATTTCCTTTAATAAATTAATATTTGTAAAATAAAATAATATGTTACACCATTCAAGTAAAAAATTTCATTTCAATTGAAATTTCAATTAAATTTTAATTTTCAAAAAATTTAGATTTAAGTTCAACTTTAATTCAAACATTTCAAAATTAACTAATAATAAGTATCAACGCTCGAATGTATTGTTCTTTCATTTGGACAAACAAACACCTTCGTTCACGAGTTTCCACATGATGAATTAGTTCGCACAACTGTTAATGTTTCACTGGGTACAGTTTAAAAGGAATTCCACGTAGCGTGGTTAAATTTTTCAACAGTTTTAAAGAGCATCGAGATGAAAGTACAAAAAAGCACCGAGTAATGATAGTTATTGCTTTGGAAGAAGGAGGTCGATTCAAGCTGGGTCGAATACAATAATGTATGAAACACGTGAGAGAATGGAGAACGTGCATATATAGGGACAAGCATGTAGGGATCATGCAACATAGATGGCTTGGTAAAGCACGTGAGCAACTTCGAGGCTTCTTGCAGCGAAAGCTTGCAAGACTCACGCGTTTCAGGAAAATGTGTTCCAACCACTTCATGGAATACAGTTCAAGCGTACGGTAAAATGTACAATAAATTGCCACGAACTTTGTGAACGATATTTGCGAAAAGTAATCTCCTTGATTTCTCAACCCAACCGTACTTAACCCTTTCGTGACCGTTTTTTATATATAAAAATTTTAATTTTCAAATGGTCACGAGACATTTTTTATGGATAATTATTTAATAATCATTTCATAGATAATCACGCTTGTGACAGGTGTTAAATTGAGATTCATTTTTGTTCGAGTATACTCAAGTAGGTCACATGCGTTCCGCTGATCACGAAAGGGTTAACGCGATTTGGACGCATTTCAGATTTAGCAATTCACATACTTTCGTGTTTGCGCGTGCGTCTCGTTCGACAATGTCGTCGATTGAAAAGGAAATAACGAATTAAGGTAGAGGGAATCTTCAGATATATCGATAAATACCGAGAGAAATATTTGAAAACTTTTCACATCGAAACTTTGTTTTAATTACTTTTCAAACACGATTAAGACTGACCAACGTTTCCGAATAGAAAGTTCCAGCTGAAAATGTTTTCGATGTATACAACAACTGTTACTGAACTACGTCTCCTGGTTTTCGACTGTTTTAAATTGACATATTTAGGGTGTCGGTGCGACTTTGAATCTTCGATAAAACTTGAACTTTGAACTTTTCTGCAAGCATTAAGAAACTTTTCTAAATGGACGTTTTATCTATTGTTTTATAAATGTCCCAAGGATATTAACAGTGCAAAGAAACTGCACAGGCGTAATTCCATTTCTTTTATTTCGTGTACGTTTTTATAAGAATATCGAAATCAATCTTTAATCCTTTGCCTTATAAGTACGAAGTGACTACTGATTTCTGTAATTGTTTCTTAAAAATTAAGACACTTAGTGACATCGCATAAAAATAATAAAAATGCTTTCCTCAGTTCATTATAATAACATAAATGTTTGCACACATTATTTCCATTTTTTAAGACTTTACGTTACTCTACAATACATTTGTATTTGATAATTTCCAGTAGCTGTATGTATCTCCAAAACAAATGTAATAAAAAAAAAACGTTCATTGAACTCGCAAAGTGTCTATAAATTCCGCAACAAAATTTCCAACTCTAAATGCTACGAAATTCATCCTAATACAGTAGGACCTCGTCTAACACAGTCATAAAATTGCTACTGCCACCGTGTAACACTCTAAAAAAAAGAACATACAAATTCTAAATTCATAATTTTCTAATTTTGGGTGAATTAAATTTGTCCCAAAAATCGACGTCGATGGACTTAATTTCCATCATATTTCCCGCGTTATAAGGGTCCCACTGTACATCCATACACGAGCACATCTACGCAACGTTCCTCATGCAAAGGTTTAAAATACAGTTCCAACGATAAACTGGCGAAATACCTAGAGCGAATTTCACGCCGGTCCAGGCCTGTCGAACGTAATTGATCAGTCTCCTATAGAGGGGTCTCGGTGGTCTTTTCGTTGAAGTGCCCTCCTCCTCGTCGCCCTGGCCATCGCTGTCTAGGGCTCCTGGTGGCGGGCCCACGCCCGTTAACGTCCCAACTTGGTTCCTTTCGCCGAGGATGTTCACCACTTCCCGTAGCTCAGGCGCTACGCCCTGCAGTCCTGAAGAGTAATTCGCGGGGGCGACGCCTGAACCGAGTAGGTTCGCGCCGCCCCCGCGACCTCTATCGCGACCACGGCTACCTCGACCCCAGGCGGTACCGCTACCTTCGGGATTTTATGCCGAGTTATGCTTAAACGTGAGACGAAACTTCAAAGAATATCAACATTCTACATGAACTTGATGCGCAGTGTGTGGAAATACGAAAGAACGCGATTTACCCCAAAACACACTTTTCTGCCAGGCTTTCTGCCTGGAAACGTTAGTCGAGGATCTCCCGGTTGGAGAGGTGTCCAGTGATAATTAAATTCCAACGTTTCTGCCAACATTGCAGCTACCTTTTGCGTGTCAGAATTTGAAAAATCCTGAGTTAACGTCGAGACTACAAGGTACTTTCTGAGAAAATGTTAGACACTCGAGTAACGTCAACGGAGATACTGGACATCAAGTCTTCTTGGTTATCAAATTTTTTTTTGGCAATATTGAATTTTCGAGAAAATCGATTTGTAGAATTTGTGGAGTACGGATTTAGCATCGTTCAGGTTTAGTTTTGTACTGATAAGGGATTCTAGTGGGGCGATAAGTTTTGCTGACCAGTTAAGAACATTCCATTAGAAGCCAATGATCTGTGACGCGAGCACGGTACACTTATAAACCTATTATTAGCGAATCTCGATAACCTGATGAAGCTAACTACAATGTTGGCGAAACGGTGGAGTTTGATTACTATTGGACACAGCTCTAACCCGGAAGCCCTGAATAACATTTCATAATATTTAATATTTCATTCTGAAGTGATCTAGGGTTGGTTGTTCTGGAAAAATTGCTGCATTTGCTGTTCGTAATGTAAGGATAGCGTATTGAGCATTATTTTCTGGAAATAACGAATCAACGAAATATAGTTGAACTCTAAATATTCTGCATAACGTTTGAATTTGTGTTTTACCCATTTTAGAAAATAATAACAAGTAACATCAATTATGCGCAATTTGTTACAAATTATTGCTCTAAGGAAGCTCATGATTCGATTGGAATTGCAATCTCTTATAAAAATAACTGATAGGTATACGTATAATACAACAGACTTTGTACAGAGCTGTGATCATTCGCAAATAGCAAAAATTTACCTAGTATTCATGTATTGAAATAGAACAAAAATGAGAAGAAAAATATTTCGACAGGATGTTTAGTTTTCGAGAAAATCGAATTTAAAAATTTGTTAAGTTCGCGTTGCATTTGACCGTCTCTCAGGTTTAGGTTTACACTACTATGCCAATGTCGCGATAAACACCGACGACACATTTATCAACGATTTTCTTAATTTACATTACTGAACGAATTCTTGGAAACGATGTCCTTGTTGACTCGCGCAAAATTTACACTATCTTTTGTGTAGACTACTTCTCTGTAAAATATAACATCGCCACTGTCTGTCAACGTAAACGTATGAGAGGAAACAACAGCTTCTAGCGAAATCCATTAAGTGGAGGAACAGTCGAGTGCACGCGCACCCGACGAATCTTCAAATTCAATTTTCTCAAAAACTAAGCTTTCCATAAAGAACCCAAAAACTACTTTCCCTATGAAAAAATTTCACTCTATACTTCCAGTTTATTTTCTAATATAAAATTCGAACTTCGAGAGTTTACTGCAAGATTTTGGCATGTAAAAATGAAATTTTGACAATATTTATTTCACGCCCCGGAGCATAATTATTATTGAAGCTTTTTAGCGTAAGCTGTGTCCTTATGGAAAAGTATTCCAACGTTTCGTCAGGGTTCGTGAAACACACCGATAATTCTCCCTTAATTGCTCCGCTGACCAATTAAAAACCACTGATTGGCGTGCAATGAACCGGAACATTAGCTTTCGTATAAATAATACACTCGAGTGTTTCGCGAACCCAAACAAAGTTGCGCTGCAACGCTCGCAAAACGTCCAGATACTTTTCCCACAAGAACACACCTCGCACTCGAAAGCTTCAATAATAAAAATTTCTCACAGCCATAATTCAGCCAAAAAAATACGACAACCCTCACCTATTCTTCATTTTGAACGAATAAACTCGAGCAGCTGCGTTTCTCGCCGTACTCTCTTGAATGCAACCACAATTACTGCTACTTGTAAACTTAAGTTCAGCATGAATACTAGTTCGCAGATGTAGCTCATAAAGAGCTGTGATTCGCGCGTCTGTTGCCATAAACTTTTTGCCATTATTTGCAAAGTACACGTCGAGGAACGTTACAAGCAGCGACCTTTCCTAAGTTCCAGAAGTGCTGTTTATAAAAGCTGCACTTTGCGGCTCTGTTGGGCGCCAGTGAACGCGTTACATTATCACTCCAAGTGGTAGTTTTCTCGATTCCGTTTGCTACACCTTATTTTCCACCGTTCGTCACAGTTTACCACAACCCGAAGAATTTCTATTTGCATTTGCTACGCTACACGCAACAATAGGCGAGGGTAGTTGAACAGAAGGAAGTTCGGGGCCGTGTAGCTTCGAGATACCGGCGAAACTTGTATCAAAATCTCTGTTACGGACGTAGCCTAACCCTTCAGACCAGAACAACACGGAGATTAGAGCTGGTTGAGTTTAAACAGAGGACTACTTCCTCGACGGGTGGTGTTTTTGGGGTAAATCACGAAACGGGGGAGGAACGCGTTTTCGGCGGTGTTGCATAAAAATGGTTGAATTTTTAACGAGAACACGGGAATCGCGTTAAACCGCGAAATTTAGTTTCAATTTCGGCATTTCGCGAAATAAGCGTTAAAATATTCATGACGATGAAAAAGTTCAATTAACGCGAGTCCGCGAGGGTTATTGATTGCTTCGACGCACCGTCCGACGTTTTCCCATTTATATTTACAATTCCAAGGATAATGAAATTCACCAAATGTTTTTTACCGACAGCGAGAAGTTTACGGAATAAGTTTATTCATTGTACTTTGCCTCTTTTGTTTTTTGTTTATTTCAACGTTTCATTTGGTCGAAATGCACCTGGGTGATTTTATCAGTGTGTTAACTGACACTGTTCTAGTTAGGTGACGAGATAGATTGATTTGTACGTAAAATGAGCTGTAACTGTGCTTCAGGAAATAAGCTGTAGCATTATGACGATAATAACGTCAACTGAGAGTTTGAAGTGTGTCACTGATAAAGCAGTCTTAGATATTGATGCGTCGCTTCTTTAATTAGTTAACGTGTATGATTGGAAGGTAACTATAACATGGAATTATGTTTGATATAATTGACGAAATTGGTCATCGATCATTGTACGAATGCGTTTACATCGATATGTGCAACTGTCGATCGTACAACTAAATTTATTTTCAAACATCTGTGACTCAACTTTAGTCTCATTTGAAATTACAATATTTTACGAATTTTATTCTAAAGTATTTATCGAAGTAGTAGAAATTTTATGCGAAAATGTTCATCGAAGTAAGACAAATTTTGTCTGAAAATATTTATTCAAGTGGTAGAAATTTTATCTGAAAATATTTAGTAAAATGACAGTTCACCGAGTGTTATTGGACCAAAGTTGGAGGTAACATTTTGCTCTATTTAGGAGCTTTTATGTACAGCGAATTCTGTATGCAAAAGTTGACCATAACGGGTTAAATTTACGGAGAGATTGAATAAGGTGCTAAGCCTTTGCCAGTGAGGGCAAGTCTGATACATTTAACGCGACACGTCAGATAAGATTCAGAATAGTCAACTAGCTGCAACGTGTCTCACCTTATCTACCATGCACTCCGTTTAACACGATAGTATTGTAATAAACATATTAACCTTTTTAAACTAATATTTCCCTTTATTCAACGTGCTGTATGAAATGTAACGTGTATAATCTATGTAAACTTCCTGTTTGCTGTTCTAATTTATTCAATATAAAATAAAAAATAGCTACAATATTTACTATAAATTTTATCTGTGTAAAATGTAACATATTAGAAATCATATCTGCTCAGTATTCACCTTTCGTGCATTTCGATCAATATGAGTACCATGTTCTCGTTACGAATAGGTTAAAATTAAATTTTAATGACTTATCACCTCTGTATATATTGTATTTACTAAATAGTGATCTCAAATATTTTAATAAAATACGTAAAAGGTATATTCTTACATAATGTTGTATTCAATCCTTTCACAGTTGATAAAGCACTTAGGATTATCTTCTTAGCATAAGAAATTATATCTTTACTGATCAAATGATGTTAAGAATGAATTCGAACGAATCTTAAAACGAGAATGAAATTTTATGTTTGCAAACGTATAATAATACTTTTATTAGAACAATAATCTACTGGTAATTGTACCACCTATTGATTATATGTTGTTTGGAAGTAATTTTTAATTATTTACATATTTTTTTCTGAAAATCTTTAGGAATTTGTGATCAGTTGTGTACAGTGATCATACGTTTATCTCTTATTGTTAGCGAGGTTGCTTAGTTTATTTATGATAGCAATGTGTTGAGCAAATGTAATATAGTAAAATGTATCTTTGTTTAAGAATAATAATGCAATTATTTTCCCTGTTATAAACATTTCGCAATTTGCTTTGTGCTATTTAAACACCTTTTAAATCAGTGAACACAAAAAAGATTTTATTAGTTTTGGATACAGTCAATTCTTCTCAAGTAAAATGCACTGTAATGCAATTTAGCTATTTAAGGAATGACATTTACGAGTAAGTGTAGTTGAGTATCGATTAATTCTCACTCTAACATTCGGATATCACAATACTACGTCCTAAAATATGAAAAAATTTAATTTACTTTAGTTAAGTAAAAACGCAAATATAAAAAAACTGAATTCTTCTAACGTATTCGAATATTGTATTAACCCCGAAAACTGTGAATTATTTTATCGAATAAAAAGTTTCACTTACAAAAACCATTTATAACAAATTGTTCAATATAACAGAAACAAACTGAATATTGTATATTAATAATTAGTAAACATGTTAGACAATACACTAAGAAGTATTGCAATATAATAGACAATTATACTTCAAGTGTATTCATCGTGACCAAAGTTCAATTACTATTTTCCTACCTGAAAAGTTACATTAACCAAGATATGCAAATCGCGAAATAATTAATACAATGTTATCTTCTTTCCAGAGGTACCGTGTAAACAGTTGAAAAATATGCAGCTGTAGATTATTGCTCGAATAAAAAATCGTGAAAATATTTAGTCTCTTTTGGGAATGAAGAAGATACCTTGACGCTTTTTATAGGAGGGGAGCCCCACCACAGGGCCACAACCCCCCGCGCTCCCCGCAACAGAGGAGCTGATGGTGGAAAGGCAGGGAGCCGCCCCCCGTCCGCCACCTCCACGTCGTTCCAAGTCACGGCGTCTGCACCCACCTCCGCCCCCGCCGCCACCGCCACCCCCAGCGGACAACACCACGACAGATCCAGGGGTACGTTTATGTGCCCCTTCTCGTGCGGAGCCCCTTCTATCTGAGGAGGGCCCCGCGAACTCCTGACGCCGTAGTCGCAGGCTTCTTCGAGCCCTGTAATCAATTTTTCCTTTGTTCTTCTTTCGTTCCTCTAGGTGAACTTTTAACCCTTTCGCTGTTATACGCGGCTATAGGCGCTGCGGAAATTTTCTCGCGCTGTGGCCTTGGCGCCTATAGGCTGCTTCAATATTTTCTCGCGGTGTGTCCTTGGCGCCTATAGGCGCTGCGGAAGTTTTTTCGCGCTATACTCTAGGCGCCTATAGGCGCTACGAAAATTTTCTGGCGCTGTGGCCTTGGCGCCTATAGGCTGCTTGAAAATTTTTTCACACTGTCCTCAACGCCTATAGACGCTTTAAAAATTTTCTCATGCTATACTCTTGAGGCCTATAGGCGTTTTGAAAATTTTCTCGCGCTATGCTCTTGACCCCTATAGAATGCTTGAAAATTTTCTCACGTTGTGTCCTTGGCGCCTACAGGCGCTGCAAAAATTTCCTCGCGCTGTGCCTTTGGCGACT